TATAAGAACTTTGGAACACATTTTATACTGTTACGCTTTTGGCTTATTTGACTGATTCTGCCATTGAACAGTTTATCCCCTTTCTACTACGGCTTACTGATTTGTCCAATTTAATAGTTGTGGGGTTACATAAATGCAATAGATTTATCCTAACAACTTTTTAGGATTGATCCTGTTATTTATCACTACATTTTCTGTCTAAAATTGCCTATACAGTGGAGATGAAAAAAATATTACTCAGGTTGAAAGTTATGTAACAATTAGTGTTTTCTGTACTTTTGGCCAAGTCAATCATAAAATTAAACGTGGACTACACGATGAGCAATTATCAAAGCTAAACCCTTACAGTAGTTTGAAAGTTTGAATGCACACTTTTTTATAACTACCTTTCAAATCACCTTTTTTAGAATCGGTAATTTCGTTTTAGTAGAATGATATATCTACCGGTAATTTCGTTTTAGTAGAATGATATATCTACTGATCGAAAGGTGCTTAGCAAAACAAATCGGTCGATATCGCGAAATATTAACCGCTTGTCACTTATAAGGGACGTGATAAGCATTTATGTACTTACAGTAGTAACAGCAGTACGCTTGGAAGCAACCCCCGAACAATCATCTCCAACAGTAGACGGTTAAGACCGTCTCTTGTCGCTGCTAAGCCACGACAACAAAGGTCATTAACAAATTCTTTCTTCCTGCCTTCTTCCAGTTAAATTATTAAATTCATTGCTTTGGAAAACATTCATGGTAGAGTTATCGGATTTGTCATAATTTCAGCCAAGTTTTTCATCATGCTGGGTCTCCATTGTCCAAAAGGGTTTAATAAACAAAACTTCGGTGATCATTATATTCATTGCAGTCTTTTACAATTGCAACCTCGCGAAGTAAAAAAACCAAATCATTCACGTAGACAGAAACGGGCGCAAAAAAGTCAAGGATTAAATATTCGTAACAGTATCATTTGTACAAAATGAACAGGCGGACGGAGGAAAGAGACAATTTTTTTTTAACCTGCCTATCTTGCTGCGCTGTTTATGCAGCGGAAAAGCGACGAAGAAAAAGCAACAGAGCTTTGCTTCCATGATAGCAGGGTTAGTTGATATATTAAGTTCGAGTTCTCAGTTTAAACCAAAGACTGTTCACTTTTATTTCTTGACCGTTTTTTAGCATTCCTAAAGCTACCAGGGCAAAAGGCTTTCGAGACGTATTTAGAAAATCATGAGAGAACGGAATTCATCTTTGTTACGATAAACTAAAATCTATCGAACTCATGGAAACTCATCTCCATTCAGTCGAACTGAACGATATTTCATGGAAAGGATTTTTAAGGCGGCGTAATCTTGTTTCCAGGTCCTTGTACTCCTCACATGACATGCAAAACAGCCCGTAGTTTTGAGTAGGTTAAGAACGCTCTAGCGGTCAAGCGAAAATCGACCTGGAGCGAGTGTAGAAATGGATCTGAGTTCAGCAGATTGTAAGAGAGCTAATTAAAAGACTACACCAATTTAACCACTGAATCACACGTACCAACTCCGCGGTATGGCTAGTACCACAACTATATCACCCCAGTAGTGGGAGCCATGGACGGCTGTTTGGTCCTCATTAGGAATCATCAGCATGGCATAGGCCCGGGCGAGAGGTCTCGCTTGCGATCATCGACCCCGCTGGTTACTACCCAGGTGAGTCCAAAGCACTCCTTTCAGCGCCAGGTCCACCGCAGACACCATAGCTGTCCATGGGTGCCACTACCGGGGTGATATGGTTGTGCGCATGCGTAAGGTACTGGCCATACCGCGGAGTTGGTACGTGTGCTTCAGTGCTTACATTGGTATTTATTAAAAGACTGCCAATCTAGATCTTTGAAAAATGTATCTCCATTTGTTAACACCCTTTCTGTTCTTTCAACTCAAGATAAGAATTCGAAAAACCGGGAGTGCAATAGTCGGCAGCCAGTAACTGGATAAAACCTTTTCTTTTTTGGTTTCTAAGCCAGAAGAGCGGAGGTTGGGGAGAGTAGAAGAGTAAATGCGCGCGTGCGCGTGCCCGTGGAACGATGAGATTGAAGGTTAAGGAGATGCAGTTCCCTCCTTCGTTTCCCAGTTCCCATCCCCCTATACGTGATCAGTTCTGTTTTTATTATTCCCTGCGGAGAGGAGAGCTTCCCTTCAACGAAAATGCGACAAGAGCTGCGAAAATGTTGTTCACCACTCAGATCGCCCCATGCAAGGGAATCCAAGAGAGTCTTGGATTCTGGATTCCTCGCAGTGGATTCAGGATTTCTTGAGCTGTATTCCGGACTTTACACCCAACAATTCCGGATTCCATAACTTTAACAACGACTTTAGCAATGTGTGTGTGTAGCTTTTTTCGGCCAGCCCAGGGCGGTAACATTCCGATACCGCTGTGTATTTCTGTTTTTAAGCAGTTGCTTTGTTCATGGGGTTGAAATGCACAAAAAATGGTGACAGCAAAGTAACCCGTATTTTCCTAAAGTAAGGATTAAGCTAAAAGTCATGCAAATACGTATCAAACACATATAAGGGGCTCATCTGAATATTTGACAGAGACAAAGTAGATAACTTTAAAGATTAAAAATTAATTATTCATCACAACTTTTCACAATAACTGCTAATTGCGGTCGACAATAAAAGTTTATCTTACGCAAACCCGCAAAATCGGCAGGCATCTAGGCACGTGATCAAATTGCGCAACA